GGCGCTTGATCCCAGGACTCCAGGATCATGACCTGAGCTGAAGGCAGAGGCTTAACCGACTGAGCCACCCAGGTGCCCTTAGATTGAACTTTTAATAGCGTCTTGAGGCCAGAGCCAAGCCAAATACATGTCATCAGACTTGCCTGTAATTCCTGTAGATTTGGGTGTATTCCTTTTCTCAAGGTCCCCCAAATAACCTGAGGTTCCTGCACCTTCCAGAAAGTGACATTCTTTTTTTTTTTTTTAAAGATCTTATTTATTTATTTGACAGAGAGAGACACAGCGAGAGAAGCAACACAAGCAGGGGGAGTGGGAGAGGGAGAAGCCGGCTTCCTGCAGAGCAGGGAGCCTGATGGGCGGTGGGTGGATCCAGCCCCATGTCTGGCTCCTGGCTTGGTGGGGAGCCTGCTTCTCCCTCTGCCTCTCCCCCTGCTCGTGCTCTCTATCTGTCTCAAATGAATAAATAAAATCTTAAAAAAAAAAAAAGTCTTAAAAAAAGATCTGATATGAAAGTTCATGATAATGCAATTGACATGGAAATCTGGTTGTTTCTATGACACATTTCAAGAATTCAAGTAATAACCTTATACCAGGACATATTAAAACTTAAGGAATTTCATATATTTTCTGGAATAGTTATATTACTTACCTATTCAGTACAACCTAAGGCTTATCATTATTTCTTTGACATGCTTTCCAAGTAACTTAATGGGGGCGCCTGGGTGGCTCAGTCGGTTAAGCATCCGACTCTTGGTGTTTGGCTGAGGTCTTGATCTCATGGCTCGTGAGATCATGCTCTGTATCTGGGTTCTGTGCTCAGCGGGAGTCTGCTTGGATATTCTCTCCCTCTGCCCCATCTCTCTCTCTCTCTTAAATAAATGTTTTTTCAAAACAAAACAAAAACCAAACCCGAGGAACTTAACATATCAAATAAACAAGCCTGATTAGTTGAAAGGCATTCATTTAGATTTTAAATCTTGGGAATTTTGTGAAAGATCTCAGAAGGTTTTAAAGCACGTGCCTAAATAGGATTACTAAATATCATTACAAAACTATATTTCACCAAGGTGGCAATAAGGGATTCTACTGGAAGTTATATAGCTGTTAGCAAAACTCAGCTCCTTTAATATTGAGAAGTTTTAACTTTAAGTAATCAAAGACCTGATAAAGGCAAAACATTGGGGCGCCTGAGTGGCTCAGTCGTTAAGCGTCTGCCTTCGACTCAGGTCGTGATCCCAGGGTCCTGGGATCGAGCCCCACGTTGGGCTCCCTGCCCAGCGGGGAACCTGCTTCTCCTCCTCCCCACCTGTGCGCTCTCTGTCTCTCTCTCAAATAAATAAAATCTTAAAAAAAAAAAAGATTCTTTCCTTCTCCCTCTGCCCCTCCCCCTGCTTATGCTCTCTCTCTTTCTCTATCAAATAAATCAATAAAATCTTTAAAAAATAATAATTAAATAAATTAAAAAGATCATTCCAGTTATCCTCCCTGGCCAGAGACAAGCTAGGTGGGAGGAAGGCAGGGAGGCTGGGGCCTGCTCACCTCAGGGGTCCCTGACCCCAGCTGACCTCTCACCCCCACCCACCCCTCATCTTGCCCACAGGGATCTGGTCTGAAGGAGCAGATGGTACTGATATCAACGCTGTGGCCCGCTCCCATGACGGGAAGTTGCTGGCTTCGGCTGATGACTTTGGCAAAGTCCACCTGTTCAGTTACCCCTGCTGTCAGCCCCGAGTGAGTCCTCCCCCCCCACCGCTGGGAGGCTGGCAGGGTGGAGGTGACAAGCAGCCTTGGGGGCGAGAGTGAGGCAACACTCCCCAGGCCTCAGTTTCCCCATCTGTGCAAGGAAGGCCGTGACATGATCCCAAGGGTTGTTCTTGAACCTCAAAGTCGGTAACTTTCAGTCTCTAGTGCTAACGCTCTGCTCCGAGTGTCTGCGATTCAGGGCTCTTTGGTTCCCTGATCCTTATTCACGCCAGAAACAGTCACTGAGCCCCTACTGTGTGCCTGGCACAGGGGCTCCAGCCATGAACATGACAGATCACCTTCTTTCACTTCTTTCTCTCCCTCTCCCAGGCCCTCAGCCACAAATACGGCGGACACAGCAGCCACGTGACAAATGTGGCCTTCTTGTGGGATGACAGCGTGGCCCTGACCACGGGGGGCAAGGACACCAGTGTGCTGCAGTGGCGGGTGGTCTGAGGTGGGGAAGGAGAGTCCCAGGGACGTGGGGCCCGGGGAGAGTCAGGTGGCAGGGCTGGACTTGTATTTTCGGGAAATGTCTATTGCCGAGTAGAGTAATATATACCAGAGTATGTCTATAGCAGAGGGGGTTATGGGGGCGGGAGGGTAGACTGACAGAAGTCTCTATTTATCGGGGTGGGAAAAGGGGTCACATTGCTTTGGGGAGCCATTAAGGTGTTTGATTTGGAGTGTTTTTTTAAGTTTATTCTTTTATATCACCCAGAAATAAAGACACATGCACTGACGCAGAGGGTCAGGGTCTGTGTGTGTCCAGGGATTCGGTGGCTTTAAGCGTGTGCGTGGGGCGGGGTATGTGTCGATGACAATGTTTGCAATGACTTAGGTCTCATTGGTCTTTAAGCCTGACAGAAACCAAGCTTGCTCTGACTCAGGCCAAAAGAGCACTCGGGGGGCCCACATCGCCGACCGAGAAGGGCAGATGTGCCTCCCGGCCTCGGGGCCAACGAAGCAGAGATTTGAGGGCAATCAGGATATTCCCTCCATACTTTCTCTGGCCTTTCACGAGTCAGCATTGTTCTCTGGGACCAGCATCCTCCACAGAAACAAGGCTTCAAGGCTCATTAATTACCAGCCTTGGGCCTCGCATCCAAAAATCTCAGGGAAAAGTTCTGATTGGCTCATCTGCAGCTCCATCAGCTTGGCCTGCTGGTTGGGCTACTGTGATTGGCTCCCCTTGGGTGGAGATCAGCCAGGGACCCATCATGGTGGCCAGGGACCTGGGATTGTGTGAGAACATGGAAGCCTCCACCTGAACCAGTTTGAATCAGCCAAGGGAACTTTTCAGAGGAACGGGCAGGTGACACAATAAATGCCTGGGAGATGGGGTATGAGGACTCTGGGTTGTAAGAGCCAGAAACCCAACTCTCTCCAGCATCAATAATAATAATAATAGGGCGCCTGGGTGGCTCAGTTGGTT